CCCTCCATTCTCTCTCAAAACACAAGCGGCCGCGCCGATCAATTCCCATCAGCGGCTGCGTTAGCCTCTAGCTTTAGAGGGCCTTGCGATTGCAGCCCATTGCCGCGTGTCATCATGGAGTCCGAACGCTGCCTGGCTTTAGTGGTTTTCGTGGTCTCGCAATCTCATTCCACGGAACAATGGTACATCATCTGAACCATTTGTGAGTCATTTACAGGGGTGGGAAAGAAGCGCCTTAAAGACACATTTCGCATTACCGATCCGCGGAATTCTTTCCTTGAAGAAGCTGACGCAGTTCGCAGTGGGGTGAAAAAAGAACAATTTTTGTGGCTGCTGAGTGCGCAGAAACGGGCTCCAAACTTATGACTTAGGCCCATGAATAGACAAAAGCTCACGCCAGCCCACGTTCCCCATGTTCACTTCAAGATAAGGAAGAGAAGATGCGTAGTGTTCAGTGAATAAAAAAGCAAAGGAGACCATCGGACTCATAGGACCCTACTGTGAGGTGTGCGGAAGTGATCAAGGGCAACAGTCCCTTGTCACAGGAAAGCTGCGCTAGCGTGAACCTTTTGACTGTGCATGGGCCTAACTCATAAGATCAGAGCCCGTTCCCTATCATCGAAGTGCAGCAGCTCAATCAATACCGAAGACACGCAGTGAAACACGCACTCAGCTGCAGAGAACAGTCAGAAGTGGGAGGGTGCAGACAAGTAGAGCGTTTGGCTATGGTTAGGCGCGTGACGCCAACGCGGGCGCAGTATGCGGACGGCACTCACTACCACTGCACTGGCCGCTTTCCCGTGTACTTCATACCTGTGAAACAGGCCCGCTACTGTAGCTGCGGACCCATCCTTCTCGCACATTTCATGTGTCAGGGACCACGAAGGTGAGTGTACAGTTACGGTTTTAGGTTTTTTCAATGCATTGCTGATAGCGACCTCCTTTTCGGGACAAAACTGAGTGTAGAACGGCTATATCGTGGTGCACTATGGTTGTAGCTAACCCTAGCTAAAAAACCAGTACATTTTGTAGTAATCCTATTGACATAAAATCAAAAAAGTGAAACAATTATATATACATGTAAATTTCCGCGCTTGAAGGAGATCTCTAAATTGAATCTTCAGTGCCGTATGTCCTCTATTCCGTAAGGTTCCAGCATATCTAGTGTAGCAGTGGGTTTTAAACGTCATAGACCTACCCCAAATTCCAAAGCACCAGCACTCCATACACTCTACATGGTGGTGAGGCTCTATTGATTGATTACCGTGTGTTCCTTTGCGTCTCTTTACTGTAGAACCCAGGTAGGTGATCCCGCGACGAAAATGCAGTAATGGTAATGCCCAGAACAACTCGTCCGGGGAGTCAGAGATACAGAGACCACCCAAGAACTGCAGTACGTTTTAATCGCTGAGCGGGCTAGGAAATTACAA